ACACACACACACACACACACACACACACACACACACACACACACACACACACACACACACACACACACACACACACACACACACACACACACACACACACACAAACATACTCTCTTTCTCTCATTGGCTTTCATTCGTATGGTGCAGCTTTAGCACCTGCTAACCCCGCGGGACAAAGACACACACGCACACACACACACACGACACACAGTCGGTGGCCTGAGTGCTTCTTTCAGTCCTGTGTTTTATTATGGGCTTCAGCTTTGCAGTTTGTAAACCTGACGTGTGCGTGTGTGCGTGCGTGCGTGTGTGCATGTGTGTGCATGTGTGTGCGTGCGCGCGTGCACGTGTGTGCGTGTGTGTGCGTGTGCGTGTGTGTGCGCGTGTGCGCGTGTTTGCGTATGTGTGTGTGTGTGTGTGTGTGTGTGTGTGTGTGTGTGTGCGTTTGTGTGTGTGTGCGTGTGTGTGTGCGTGTGTGTGTGTGTGTGTGTGTGTGCGTGCCTGCGTGCGTGTGTGCGTGCCTGCGTGCGTGTGTGCGTTCTGTTATGTATCACTCAGACCAAATATCTCTTGCAAGTCATTTTTTAATCTTTTTTTTACTTTTATTTGGTCCCCATAAGGACAAAGCCTAATAAACACAGAATGAAGTATTAAGACAAATGTAAAGGTGCAGGTTGCGTTCTGTCAGGGTTGGTTTGGGGAGAGAATATAGTCTGTACAGTAGAAACATCAATACAGCTATCAGAGGTCCCTATAAAACATGAAAACCCTATGTGTGTGTGTGTGTGCGCTGCAGGTTCGAGAGGCGGCTCAGGCTCTCCTGTTGGCTGAACTGAGGCGTGTGGGTCAGTCGGGCAGAAAGGACACCATTGACCTGTGGGCTCCGTATCTGCCGCAGTATGTGGACACGGTCAGCTCTCGTAAGTGTTACACTGTAAAGGACACACACTGCAGCATCGCACACCAGCACTAATCACAGAAACAGTGCTCCATCCATCCATCCATCCACCCTTCCACCTATCCACCCCTCCATTCATGCATCCATCCACGGACCGTTCTATCTGTCGTTCTATCGTTCTATTCATCTATGTATTGGTCAGGCAGTTCTCAGAAGATAATGTTATCCTCCGTTATTGTTTTTCTTATAGTAGTAGTTTATATAGGCTGGTGTTAAATGCCTACGAGAAATGAAAGAGCAAGTCCAACACTGATCCATACTTTCTTAAATGAGTGTTAATCTATTGTTCTATCATTCTATCTATCTATCCATCCATCCACCCACTGATCCATGCATCCAACGATACACCCACCCACCCATCCATTCATCCATCCATCCATCCATCCAATCGTTTGTCCATCCACCCATCCATTTATCCACTGATGATCCATCTATACATCCATACATCAACTGATTCACCTATCCACTGATCCATCCATCCATCCAGCCCTCTAATTGATCCATCCATTTATCCATCCATCTATCCATCCACTGATCCATCCATACATCCACTGATCCATTTATCTAGCCATATGCTTGATCCATCCATTTATCCATCCATTCACTGATTCATCTATCCACTTGATCCATTCATTCATCACTAATTCGTCCGTCCATCCACCTGATCCATCCACAAATCCATCTATCCATTAATCCATACATCAGCTGATCCATCAATCCATTTATCCCTTTATCCATCCATCCATCCATCCATCCATCCACTGATCCATCCATCCACTGATCCATCCATCCATCCATCCATCCACTGATCCATCCATCCACTGATCCATCCATCCATCCATCCATCCACTGATCCATCCATTCATCCACTTATCCATCCACTTATCCCTCCACTCAGCCAGCCAGCCAGCCAGCCAGCCAGCCATCCACCTGATCCATCAATTTATCCATCCATCCATCCATCCATCCATCCATCCACTGATCCATCCATCCATCCATCCATCCATCCATCCATCCATCCATCCATCCATCTATTTATCCACTGATCCATCCGCTTATCCCGCTACTGAT